GTCTGAGCTTCCCACCAGGATCGGGACCAGCTTTGGGACAGTCTCTCGGAGGAAGCCCTTCCATGTCCCAGACCGCAAAGGACGGGGTCTCACTCTTCCCCACGGCCTCACTGCCTCGCACCTTCCAGCCCCGTGACCTAAGGCTGGGGGGGGGTCTTGTCTTAGCTCCCCCACAGAGACCGTCGATCCATGAGTCGTTGGAGCAGCCGTTGGCTGTCTAACCCAGGGGTTCTTCAACCTTTTTTAATATGCGGACACCTAAAAAATGTCAAATGGAGGTGCAGACCCCTTTGGGAATCTTAGACATGGCCTGCGAACCACCAGAGGTCTGCAGACCACAAGTTGAAAACCACTGGTGAAGGCACCTTATTGGTTCAGGCTGGTTTCAACCAGTTCCTTAGGGAATGTCTACACTGCAGGGAAAGCCCAGGGCTCAAAGTCAAGAGCAAACCTAACCCCTTTCTGTTTACACACAAATCACACTAACCCAGTGTGACAGTCTGGACACTGATGTTCATCCTTTTTTCAAGACTATGATAAATTTTGTACCAAGTATGCCTTGTGCCGGTATCATTCGAAAACTCATAATCCACTGAACATTATTGTCTTGGAAAAAAATGCATGGCAACATTGTATGAAAAGTTATATAATTCTACGTATGACATTGGTGAGCTGTGTTCCAAGTTTAGAAAAGCAGGCACAAACCAGTTCCTCCGAGACAAAAGGCAAACTGATGTCTCAGTCAGGTGTCAACGTCATCAAATGGACTATCGCCTGGTTAAGCAGCCATTCTTTGGTGGGAAGAGAGGTGTGAGTGAGAAATTTACATCCTAGCAAAAGAGCTGGAAGTTCCTGTCCCAGAGACAGGCTGTCTGCTCAACCCCAGCTGAGGATGATTGTCAAGGAGGAAAAGGATATAATTGAGGAACAGAGGCCACAAATTCTCTCTCCCTTCATCTCCAGTCACGGCATCGACTTAAAAGACACTGGACTGGGGAGTGATCCTGGCTGAAAGATCCAGCCGGAAAGATCATGTGGTGAGAGAGAGAGACCCTTTCATGTCGCTTGTTAAGTTTGGGATTAGTTTGCATTTTTACCTCTTGTTTCTTTGTAACTAATTCTGACTTTTATGCCTCGTTACTTGTAATCAACTTAAAATCTATTGTTCTGGAGTTAATAAACTGGTTTTCTTGTTTTATCTAGACCTGGGTGGGTTTGGATGGAAGTGTCCAGGGGGCTCCTTGTGCCGCTCGTTTTCTGTTCATGAAATGACGGGCTATGGATGAGCTGGTGATGTCCAAGAGGGGGCTGGGCAGTGAACGACGTACCGTGCTGGGGAGCTGGGAATTTGCTGGTGTCGCTCTGCAGTGTAATTCCTGGGTGGCTGGTGCAGTAGAACTGGGGCGTGATTTACACATTGGAGGCTGCGTGTGAGCAGACCAGGAGTGAGGGCTCTCACAGGGAAGTGGTGTGAAAGGCACGGAGTGGTGGAGAACTGAGGGGACATCACTGTCCATCAGCCCAGGGTCTCAGGACCCCACAGGTGGTGAGTGTGAGTGAAGACAGGGATCGAGCCCTATTGATTTGCAGTGCAGATGCGGACCCATTGGGGAATCTGCCAAAAGCATCCCATGATCCCGGCTTCCTTTATCCTCTGGCCCGTTGAGTCTGGGGGACGGTCAAGTTTCCCCAGCCTGCACCACGAACAAAGGGCGACAGCAGCTACATTTTGGGAGGGGGCTGGGATACGGGTGGTTGGACGCAGGCCGGTGTAATGCAGCGTGGACACTGGAGCTGCAGCTTGGGACCCGGGTCCACCATTCCTGGACTTACCACTGAGTGTAGACGCTCAAGCCCTGCGTTAACAAACCCAGCATCTGCTCGCTCTAGTTTGACTCACCCTGGGCTAACACTGTCGTGTAAACAGACCATTTCAGTGCATAGTATATAGAGCAAACAAGTCATTGTCTGTATGTAATTGTAGTTTGCACTGATTTTGCTAGTGCTTTTTATGTAATCTGTTGTAAAACTAGACAAATATCTAGATGAGTGGATGTACCCCCTGGAGGACCTTTGAGTACCTCCAGGGGCACGTGTTGAGAATCACTGCCCTAGAATATTCCACCCTCCGTGTCTACCAATGCATCTAGGTGTTTTATGCTTTGTTCCAGCAAAAGAACCCCACAGCTGCACAACCTGAATTCAGGTTATTTCCCCCAAAGCCACCAAAAAACTCAGTGAATGTATCTTTCTGATCTTGCTCCTTAAGAAATGCAGAAATAGAAACATAGATCCATAGTTTCTAAGGCCAGGGGAGCCCACTGTGATCAGGCCATAATAGACCTTCCCCGAAATCTTTCAGCAAAATTATTTCTGCTAGTTAGTAGAACTGGTCAAAACGCTGTTTTCATGGAATGTGCGTTTTCAATGAAATAAAAAACGTTTCCAGAAAGTATCCGCTTTCCTTGACAATTTTTGATCAGATACCCAAAATCCAAGTTTTTTCAGTTTTCAGCCAAATATTTTTCCATTTTCGGCCGAAATGTTTTGGCTGTCAGTTGCCAAAAACTGAAAACATTTGGGTAAAAACAATAACAACAACAAAAGTCAGCTCAATCTTCGGTTTTTCAATTTTCATGTTTTTGACAAACGTTAAACATTTGCCATGGGGAAAAAATCCCATTTTCCTTGTTATTAATACATCCCTCTCCTGTGAAAGACAGTGCAGAAATATTTTGTGCTATAAATTCACCTCTTGGGTAAAAATAGGCAGTAACACATCGTAAATTACAATCCAGTTTTATTGGACACATGCCAAAAAGTCAAACGGGAGTATAATTATTGTTTGTCATTATTATTGAAGAAGTGTAGAAATCTGTCGCCTTTTTTAGTGGTGCACTCACAAAAAATAACATGAAGGAATTTCATGGCAAACTGGATAGTACACATGAAGGTGGTTTGTTCAGATAAATTTTTGCTAAAACACACAGTTCTGGAGATTTTTGCGGTACCATTGCTGCTGATGACTATACTCACAAGAAATACAATATAAAATAAAATGATCTAGTACTTCTGGGCCAGATTCAAATTTCAATTGCAAATACGGAGTAACTGTATTGAGACCAAGGGACATATTTCCTGATTTACATCAGTGTAATTTGCATCAGAGTCTAACCCCCTCGGACAAAGATATTCTTCCCATCTGCTGTATATGTTGCTTGAATTTTCCACATAAGTGTTTTAAGAATTGTACTATAATTTTCTTAATTCATTCTTAATATCAAATTAATCAGACTTAAAATTGCCCTGTTGGAAAAGTTAACTGTTCTTAAAGGTATTTTTTGAACACAAATCCACTTTCTCTCCTTCTCTTTGTATTTCTCTTTCAACATTGTAGAAACTCCAGTGCAGAGATCTCAGGTGGAATTTTCAAAAGCACTTATGGGAGTTAGGAATTCGGGCCAGATTTTTAAAGGTTTTTAGGCATCTAGTGAGATTTTCAAAAGTGCCCAAATCCATAGGCAGTTAGGCACTTAGATGTTTTTGAAAATCCCACCAGGCACCTATGAGCATCTTTAGGTGCCTAAATCCCTTAAACATCTGGTGTTTGGGTTCTATTTTGAAAAGTGACTTCGGAATTTAGGAGCTTATATGCCATTGTCTTTCAATGAGACTTTGGCTTCTAGGCCTAGATCCCCAAAGGTATTATTTGGGCATCTAACTCCCACTGATTTCCATGGGAGTTAATCACCTAAATACCTTTGATCTAGAATCTAAATGCTTGTCACTTTTAAAAATAGCACGAAGGTGCCTAAGTCACTTAGGCCCTTTTGAAAATTTGAGTTAGGAGCTTTTGAAAATCCCATTCCGTTTCTTATGTGTATAAACAGGTTACATTTGTCAAAAGTACGAAATCACTTAGAAGCCTAATTCTCATGGAAAATCATGGAAAGCCAAGAGGACTTAAGCTCCTAAATCACTCTGGCACTTTTGAAAATGTTAACCGTGCTGCCTAGCACGAGGCTAACAGGAGCCTTTGGCAGTGTAAATATTAAATCATAATAATTGTTCTCTGGGAACCCAGTCCCTGCCCTGGTTAATTTTGTTTTAATCTCAGTAACTCAAAACCAGAGCTTTTACATAAACAGATTTGATCATTTGTACTTCTAGCCTTTGATAACACATGACCACAAACCTACATGTAAACCGCGTCATAAATCTCATGTTTGCCTTGGGTTTAGTTTTGAAAATGTAACACAACGGGGTAAACTTTCCTTTCAATAAAAGAACACAAGGATTAGTATTTGATAAGCCATTTGTAAAATTAATCAGCGTGGCTGTGGCTAACATTTGCAAACACTGTTCTCTAAACTCAGTTTCACAACTTTAATTCCCTTCCTTAATCGATATTCAGCTTCGGAATACATGGCCTTATTTTCAGAAGCGCTGAGTGCCCACAGCTCCATTGACTTCAACAACAATCGCAACTGCTCAGTGTCTGTGACTATTAGACCACTTATTTTAGGAGCCTACATATAGATTTTGGGAGAGATCTTCTAAAGCACTAAAGAGATTTAGGAGCACGAGTCCTAAGGACTTTCAACGGGGTGCATGTGCCTAAATCCATTCGGCTGTTTTGAAAATTTCTCCCTTAGGTTCTTAGGCTCGGGTGCCAAGTTTGAAAATGTTGACAACCTCTCAGGTCGCACGGAATACAACAAAGGCCCCTGTTCACTTAAGCAGAGACTTAACTTTTAAACATAAGTTTAAGTCCCTTCTTGAAAATGCTTAAGCACTCGCTTAACTTGAGCACATGCTTAACAGCTGTCCTGAATTAGGACCCCAGTGCTTAAGAACTACTATGCCAGGAGCCAAAGAAACAGGCACATCGTTGTCATTCACACTAGAATTATAAAAGGGGGGGGCTGAAGGAATTCAAAATGCTACAGGGGGTTTCTTGCCAAAGTGATGGATTGTTGCCGCGGGGGGTAGTATCAAGAGGCAATTATACGTGGATGGGGGGAGTGGTCTATCTATGACTTGAGCTGTGGGGAATTCCTCAAGCTTAACTTTTAATGGTCTTTTTGCTGGAAGAGGTTTTGGAGACAATTTTCACGCCCACGCTGGTTCCCACCCCAGTGCCTTTCCCGCTTCCGGTGCTGAAATTTCCTCCTCCGGCGCTCAGCCCGCTGCCACCTCCATAGCCAAAGCTGCTGCCCCCTCCGAAGCCGCCGCCGCCGCTTCCAAAGCCGAACCCTCCGCCTCCGAGACCGAGACCACTTCCACCTCCATAGCCGAATCCTCCTCCGCCTCCTGCTGCGCTAAAACCGCCAAATCCTCCTCCTAAACCAGCTCCGCCACCAACTCCAGCGCTAGAGCTGACCACCGCTGCAAGAAAACCACAGCCTGGTCAGACGCCCGGTTGAATCAGGGGTTCGGTTCCAGTGAAACATGGACTCTTAACTGGCCCTACTGGTAGGGTTGCCGACCCTCCAGCATTGTCCTGGGATCTCCAGGAATTAAAGAGGAATCTTTAATTAAAGGTTACCTCATGTGATGAAACCTCCAGGAATTCATCCAACCAAAGTTGACAACTCTACCTACTGGGCCCACAATTGGGTATTGAACCTGGGACCTCTGGCACTAAAAGCATGGGCCTCTGCCACCAGAGATAAAAGACTAGGCCGCAGAGCCTCAAAGATAGTTAGGCACTCACGCCCCATTTTGAAATCAATAGACCGTAGGTGTCTAAATGAGCTGGGGATAGACCCTGTAACTAGCAAGAGGAGCAGACCCTTTAATAGCTTATGTGGGCCAGCCATAGAGGGAGCAAATGCCCACACTCGCCTAGCACGGGTTACATAAGCCCAGACGCTGCTCCCGACAGGAGAGAGATACTCACAGTAGCTGACGGGGATGACGCCCTCTCCGCTCAGCCTGTGGGGGAAGGCAGACAAAAAGAAGGTAAAAGTCACATGGAGGAGTTCGGCTTTTAAGATCGGCGCTGTAAATACGTGAAGTTTTTTCTGGCACATTTGCAACCTTGCAGTGCTAAGATCTTCAAAGACTCGTTGACTAAAAGGCCAGAAGGGACCATCATATTCATCTACTCCATTGAGACCATCTGTTTTCATGTTTTCCTAGGAGGCTAGTCTGTTTCTGTCTGTGGAGCCTAAATACCTTTTAAAATCTGGCCCTAAGTGAACTGCTCAACACCACAGGAGCAGGGTGCAAGAAAGGCAGGGAACCAGACCAGATTCTCCTAAATTGCAGGCTAGACTAACCACTGTACCATCCATCCTTCTTGAATAGGGAACCCAGCCCCCAACAGACCCATGGTAATTTTGCAAAAGATTAGCCACTCAGCGTGCTGGGCTGAGAGTCAGGAGATGCTGCTCCCTGTGGTCCCTCCTCCATAAGTTTGTTGTATCCACCTCTTGTCTCCTGTCCTGTGCAAGGACTTTGTAAGCTCTTTGGGGCAGGGACTGTCAACCACCTAGCCCAATGGGCTCTTGATCGCGGATTGGTGCCTCTAGGTGCGACTTCAATACAAGTAATAAAGTGACTTGGGTTCTATTCTAGCTCTGCCAGTGGCTTGCTAGGTAACCTTGGGAAAGGAAGTATCTAGCTATCCCCACACATACACATCTATCCATCCATCCTCCATATACACTCCTCTATCTGTCTATCTACGTTATTCTGAATTGCTATATCAGTCTGCATATAGAACTTTCTCTCTCTCTCTCTCTGTGCATACATTACTATCTCTCTATCTAGGAATTTATATTAGACTCACCACTGTGTGTACCTCAATTTACTCTCGGTGCCTCAGTTTCCCTGTCTGTAGAATAGGGATAAAGATACTCCCCTGCCCCCATTGAAAAGTGCTTTGAGAGCTGTAGATGAAGAGTGCTGGATCTCAATGAGTCAGAAGCATTATGATCACTCTCATTCTCTTGCACCCACCTGCTCTCCTCTCCCTCCAGCAGCTTCCTGTAGGTGGCGATCTCGATATCCAGGGCCAGCTTGACGTTCATCAGCTCCTGGTACTCCCGCAGCTGGCGCGTCATGTCCTGCTTGGCCTTCTGGAGAGCATCCTCCAGATCAGCCACCTTCATCCTGGCGTCTTTGAGAGCCAGCTCGCCACGGTCCTCGGAGTCGGCGATCGCCGTCTGCAGACTGGCGCACTGCAGGGGAAGGGAGTTGGCTTCCTTTTAATTACCAGCCATTTCTCTCTGTGTTTTCCCGCTCTCCTTTAACAGTGCAGAATTCACAGGCAGAGAGCTGACTCCTAGCTGTCCTTGCTGCTGTTAGCACCAGGGGCGTGACTGGCCTGTACATTTCTATAGCCTCTGTTTGACAGAAGCTGGGAATGGGCGCCAGGGGATGGATCACTTGATGATTCCCTGTTCTGTTCATTCCCTCTAGGGCACCTGGCACTGGCCACGGTTGGAAGACAGGATACTGGGCTAGATGGACCTTTGGTCTGACCCAGTAGGGCCGTTCTTATGTGCATTGTAGCTGTTTTCTGCATCATCATGACCACTAATCTGGCCTATGCTACTGAGACACAATATCCAGTCAGAGGGTGGTGACTGATTTATATTTACAGCTGCTAAGTCTTGTGCTGGAGCATTTTGCGCTATGGCCATGTCTGCGGCGTACAAACCATTGTGAGGGCTGAGTCTCTGGCTTAGCAAGAATGATTTAGTGCAGTGGAGAGAAGGCTGATACGTATGTGTGTGAGCACGCATGCACACCACTGCCCTCTGTTGGGTGGAATGAAACTACTTACGTGTGACATGTCGCCCTCTACTGACTGCAGCTGGTGTGGCTATACATCCTCACAGTGCTGCAGCCGACAGAGTGGGGTGGGAGGGCAGGAAACTGCGTGAAAGGAGCAGGCAGTTCTGTCTTCTCCCGTCTCTAGTGAGAGCCATTCCTACCTGGTTCCTTGCATTCTCAATCTCAGCCCGTAACCTCTGGGTCAGCCGGTTGAGCTCTGAGATTTCTCCCTTTGTGTTCCGCAGGTCATCGCCGTGTTTCCCAGCAGTGGCTCGCAGCTCCTCGAACTAATATTCAGAAACAAGAGGGGGAAAAAAATACAACCTAATGCCCAGCCCTGCACTTTAACTAAGCAGCCACTCATTTGGGCGGCAATAACGGCATAGCTCTGGGCACTCTTTTAAAAGAATTGAACACCCAGAGAAGAATCCGGGGTCCTCCGTTTATAGATCCACTCACCTTGTTCTGATACCATGACTCAGCCTCGGCTCGGCTCCTGTTAGCAATGTCCTCGTACTGCGCTTTGACTTCGTTCACGATGCTGCTAAGGTCCAGGTCTCGGTTGTTGTCCATTGACAGGATGACAGAGGTGTCAGACACCTGGACATTGAGCTGGGCCAGTTCCTGCAGAAGTACATGGGCGTCTGAGTCACCTCTAGTGCAGAAATGTCCTGATAGCCACCATCTGCCTTTAAAAATGCTGGACCTGATTCTCCTTCCATGTACCCAGGCGCAAATCAGGAGAAAGTCCATTTGTGTGTCAGTGGAGCTGCTCTGGATTGACAGTGGTGTAGCGCACCAAAAACAAGTTCACTATCTTTAGAAGTTTAGGTCCAGATTCCAATGTAAACCCGTTTAAATCCAAAGTGACTCCACACCTGTGTCAATCCAGAGTGACGCCACAGAAATCAACGAGGTTACTCCGGATTTACAAAGGGGCAACTGAGATCAGAATCTGGACTCTAGCATTTTTATTTAAGCCGAACACAGAGACAGGCGCACACTGGAAATTGGTATTATTCAAAACCACTCAGGGAATGTGAACTGAGTCTGAGAAGTGTAAATCTGAGTGGCACGGAGTCATTGCAGTAGCCCTAAGTAGTACAGGAGTTAGGTACTTAGAAATCCTAAAGATTATTCTCTTGTACGATAAAAAGGCATGTGTTTTTATTAAGATTGCAGTCGCATGTAGAGGCTTCAGCCAAGGTCAGGGCCCCATTGAGTCAGGCACCGTATCAACACAGAATGAGATAGACCTGGCCCCGAAGACCTTATGATAAAAGTAGACAAAACAGCAATGAAATGACGCGACTCCAAGATCACACAGCAGCTAAGTGGCAAAGCTAGGAGCAGAACCCAGGTCTACCGAATGCCAGCCCAATGCCCTATCCAATGGACAAAACCGCCTTCTGTGGTGGTCTTGATTCCCTCCCACGTTAAGCCTGCTCATGAACATAGGCCGTATTTAATTTCCTAGCGAAGACGCCATGAGAAGAAGCAATACCGCGTCATAGAGGGTTCTGAGGAAGTTGATCTCATCCATCAAGGCATCCACCTTGGCCTCCAGGTCTATCTTGTTCATATAGGCGGCATCCACGTCCTGAGAAACAGCAAACACAGTCACAACTGCAGCCTAGCGGCCTCGGCTGGCGCAGAAAAGAAGCCAAGGATTGCCCAGGGGTGAAGCTCAAGCGGCCTTTCCGGGTCTATGAGGGCTCGGGAAGTCGATAGAGACACTTCATTGCACTGCTGACTTTTAAAGGACAAAGCTCAGCGAGGGGGTGCATAGAGCTTATAGGGGAAGAACTCTGAAGCATTCTGGGCCAAAGATAGGGAGGGCATAAAGCATGGAGGTAATATTTTGGGGTCTGCTCACAATCCCTCCCTTACCCTTCAGAAATGCTGGCATTCTGCCAGGTCCAGTGTAGTGTCAGCGGGGTGGGAGTGGGGAAAAGATGCTACCTCCAACCCCCTTAGAAAACTTAGTGGGACAATTGAACCTTGTAGGGCCAAGGAGGCCTTTCAATTGGATTTGGACACCAGCTCTCTTAGGCGCCTTTGAAAATCTCAGCCTTCGATACCGCAAACACAATGAAAATTGTAATCAATCTTAGCACAGCTCACCTTCTTGAGCACCACAAACTCATTCTCCGCGGCTGTGCGCCTGTTGATTTCGTCTTCGTATCTGTAGGGATAGAGGGGAGGCAGCGCTAGACCTTGTTCATGGAATAGGAGAGGCAGGAAGGCAAGAATTTCTTGCCTGAGCTCCCATTTGCAAATGCCTGTTTCTCAGATTAACCTGGCCACCTTTCTTGTAGCATGATTATCGTTTCTACTGAAATTTAGGGTAATGCTTTTTACAAATTGCACTTCCTTTGGTCATGCTGATTCTTTGAATTTTTGGCTTCAAAACGGGAAGATAGATGTTTAGAAAAAAAGGAAATCTTTCCAGACACTATCTGCATTAGCTGCAGTCCAGGCTAGCGATTGGCTTTCGCTTCAAAATTTAGCTTCTCAACACGATCCATATTTTCAACCTCTCTAAAATTTTGGTGGGGGGGCTTTCAAGGTCCAGTCTGCTGCAGAACTCAGATTCACATCTGGATGCAGCTCCATCTCTGTGTGTGTTCATGGCCCACCGGCCAGTGTTTGGTCCTGCCATGAGGGCAGGGGACTGGACTCGATGACCTCTCGAGGTCCCTTCCAGTCCTAGAATCTATGAATCTATGGTCTCACCTCCTCTCTCTTTCCACATCCACTCTGCAAAACTGCTGTAAAACTGTGCTCTATAAACTTGCGAGATGTTTTAATTTCCCTTGCAACGGTAGTGATGCGGCTGGAATGTCATGTGCAGGGATTGAACACCAGATCTTAACGCATGTGCATTTGTTTGGAGCAGTGGAAAACTCATAAACATTCTATGTATGCCAGTCACTAGACTCACACGGTGTTCCATATATCTCCTCAGCAAACATACTCCATCTCCTGGGTTTTTGTCCCTAACAAACTCACATGTGCAAGCTTAAGATTTGGGCCACGTGTGTTGGTCATGCCTGCTGTAAGCATGAAAAAAATGTATCACAACTTGAACTGGTTGGAGAATGGAATTTCCCCTCTGGCGGAAATTCAGACATTTCCAAATTTGTTGTCACTCTGAATCAGAACAGAAAGTTGGAATTTTGACATTTTTCTCAGTGTGGAAATTCTGAAAAATTTTAATGTGAAACACTGTCTTCCAGTAATATCAGATTGTTTTGTGCAGATGATGTTAAAATATGATATTATTACGTTAAATACGTGTCTGTAAAATGTGAACTATAATATATAGTTCAAATCATTCTACCATAAACGTTAATACAAAATGAGACAAAACAGTAAAGTCCAAATGAAACATTTCAACATTATCAGCATGAAACAAGAGTCAAAACAATTCATTTTAACGCTTTTCCTTTGAACATTTCGTCAAATTCAACATGTTCCCATGAAACTTTTTCACTGCCTTTTCCAACAGAAAACTGTTCCATCTAATTTTTATCAACTAGCCCTCATCGCAACAAAGCTACCGTACAGCCAGGGATCTGATCCCCACTAGAACGACTGTAGAGTGTATAATTCAGCACAGATCACCTCAATGTCCTTCCATTAAACATTCACTTACTTGTTCTTAAAATCCTCTACAAGGTCCTGCGTGTTCTTCAGTTCTCCCTCCATCCGCCCTCTTTCATTTAACAGGTGGTTCAGCTGCTTCCTCAGGTTGTTGATATAAGACTCAAAGAGGGGTTCAAGGTTATTCTTGTTGGAATTGGATTTCTGACCCTGATCCTGCAACAGGGTCCACTTGGTCTCAAGCACCTTGTTCTGCTGCTCCAGGAAGCGGACCTGAAACCCAACAGGCAGAAGATATTTAATGGAAGATATTCGCAACCAGGTTGACACCTGAGATTCAATAACTTGGCAGTTCAGGGGGCAAGAGAGGACATATTAAATTAACCCCTACATTTTCTTGAAAACAATGGGCCAAATCCTCAGGGTCTCTCACATTAACGTAGTCTTTAGCCAACCAAATCTCCCATTGACCAGCTCAATTCCTGAGGTAGGCTGATGTACTAGCTAGGACAATATAGACTGGAACTCAAGATATCTGTGTTTTATTCCTATCGCCGACCATCTGTGTGACTTCTGTGCCTCAGTTTCCCCATCTTTGTAAGTGGTGTAATGATATTTAACAACTTCTGTCGCTAAGTATTGGCTTACTCCAGTTTTCCTTCATTTGGGCTCAGTCTGGACTCAGGTATACTCCATTTAATGGCATTTTCCTGAGTAAACCCAAGTAAGGACCTCAATATAGAAACATGGAGTTATACCTAAATAGTGACTGAGAGAAAACTGATTCAGCTTGTGGTCAAGCATCAGCAGAAAGGTGAGAGTTAGAGGAAATGCCCCAATTAGAGACGAACACCATGTTTCACTGACATTTCAAATTGTGTCCCAAAAAGGGATTACAACTATTAATGAAATAGTTGTGGATTTTGCAATCTATATTTCACGTTTCCCCTCTTTCTGTGTGCGTTTGGGGGTGGGGTGGAGCAAATCAAGTCCCTGGTCTGTTCAGTTTCCAATGCTAACCACTGAGAAATCTGGATTCGCGTAGCATGTAGAAGCACATTCATTTACTGGAAGATTTGAATCAATCAGTGCAAAGAGGAAACATTTGCCGGGTGAGAGACTTATTAACTCATGGGTTTTTGTAGATATCCAAATATGAAAACATGCCTTTTCTGTTCCTTTCCACCTATCTGCCTTTTTCCACAGCACTCCCATCACCGTAGTTTCTGATAAACTCTCACCTTGTCAATGAAAGAAGCAAATTTGTTGTTGAGACTCTTAATCTGCTCCTTCTCCTCTTTTCGCACCTGTTGGATGTTTGGGTCAATCTCCAGGTTCAGTGGCGCCAGGAGACTTTGGTTGACCGTCACTTCTTGGATGGTACCCATGCCAGGTAAAGTGCCACCCCCAAATCCTGCTGGACTTCTACCTCCACCAAAGCCTCCCCCGCCACCAAAACCAAGCCCACTGCCACCAAAGCCAAATCCACTCCCAGCGGCTCCACCACCAATACTGAGCCCACCACCGCCAGCTCCCCCACCAAAGCTAGATCCGCCACCATGACCTCCGCCGCCAAGATAGAAGCCACCACCAGCTCCACCCACAAATCCACTCCGGAGGTTGCTCCCACCACCGATGGAAATTTTCTTAGTGCCCCCTAGGTTATAGAGGCTCCGGCTGCCAAAACTGCCTCCGCCGCTGAGCCTTCCGAAACCTCCGCTGCCTCTTGACACGGAAACCGAACTGAAGCTGGCTCTGTGGCTACTTGGAACCACAGCAGAGACTGTACTGAAGCCCTTGCTCCCACCTCCACTTCGGATGCTGCCGGATTGCCAGCTCATTGTGGCGGGAGAGATCAGCGCTGCTGCGAGAAAGGAGCGGAGTCGGCAAGCGGTGCCTTCTGGTGAACACCCCACCGGAGCCTTGCCCCTTTTATCCTTTGGGATCTGGGCTGGGTTGCCTGGAAGTGAAGCGATCAGTTGAGCGCCTTAATGGTTTTGACATTCCTGGCAGGCAGGTGTCGAAATGAACTTGTTAAATGCTCACTGAACTCAACCACTCCCGTGGAACTGATGGGAGTCTGCATCGCTGATCGGCTTCGACCCAGCAACAGGGTTATCTAACGCCTCCTTTTCCGGCAGCGAGTGCTCAGACACGGACCTTCGCTTTCAGAGGCGAATCGTTTTTATTTTCCTGCTGCAAAACAAAGGTGTTTCCATATGAATGTGCCCCGAACTACAAGCCATGTTTCAAGAACCAATTGGCACTCTCATCTGAGTCAGCGATGGTTGCTCATTGGTTTCACATACCCCCAGATGGCAATTGTCCAAAGCTGTTCAGTTACTATGTACCATGCTGGAACATCCAAGGGGCTAAAACCCCCAATTCTCGAGTGACAGCCCTTACCACGAATAATGCAGGTGGAAACTGCAGGGCAGATGAAGCCGGTCTTAGAACATAGAACATAAGAACGGCCATACTGGGTCAGACCAAAGGTCCATCTAGCCCAGTATCCTGTCTACCGACAGTGGCCAATGCCAGGTGCCCCAGAGGGAGTGAACCTAACAGGTAATGATCAAGTGATCTCTCTCCTGCCATCCATCTCCACCCTCTGACAAACAGAGGCTAGGGACACCATTCCTTACCCATCCTGGCTAATAGCCATTAATGGAGTTAACCTCCATGAATTTATCCAGTTCTCTTTTAAACCCTGTTATAGTCCTAGTCTTCACAACCTCCTCAGGTAAGGAGTTCCACAGGTTGACTGTGCGCTGTGTGAAGAAGAACTTCCTTTTATTTGTTTTAAACCTGCTGCCCATTAATTTCATTTGGTGGCCCCTAGTTCTTGTATTCTTCTACTGTCTTCTACTGGCTTTCCCTGACACAGACAGGAAGCTGAAGCCCCAAGGTAAATGAATGCACCCAGGAACAGAGGTGGATGGAATACGTCAATTTCCAGGATTATCCATCCGGTATCTTACCAAAGCCCTACATTCATTTAAAGATGCACTAGCTAAAACAACTTACTCATCATCAAGGTGAATGGGAGACTTGTCTGAGTTAATTAGAATGAAAGTCAGTGGGGTCTATATCCTACTAGTGCCTTTAAAAATCTCCTGCTTACTAATGCGGGACAAAAATTTCATGAGGATTCTTGGCCTGGAGGCATAGAACAGCTGTTTGGCCGCTGCACTGGCCTGATGATCATTGACAAGGACAGCTCTATTTAAGGGCCATGATTTGTGCAATCTTCAAATGGATTGCTCCTATGGTAGTGTGGCATAGTGGCTAGAGCACTGGATTGGTACTTAGGAAACCTGGTTTCTATTCCTGGCTTGGCCACTGGGTGACCATGGCAAGTGACTTCACCACTCTGTGCCTCAATTTCCCCATCTGTAAACATAAATGTGACTAATGATAGTGCTCTCCTTTGTAAACCGCTTTGAGACCTACAGATGAAAAACATTATAGCAAAGCTAGGTATTATTATTATTATTATTACATTCATACTCTCACAATAAGCTGTTTGAGGAAGGGACTGTCTTTTTCTTCTGGGTTTGTACAGCACCTTGCACAATGGGGCCCTGATCCATGACTGGGTGCCTAGACCTTACAGCAGTAAAAATTATTATTATTATTATTAATAATACAGTAAGGAGAAGCATTTGGTCCAGAACCTGAAACCCTTACTCTTTTGGTACTGAGGGGTTGCCAAGCCTCCAGGATTGGCCTGGAGTCTCCAGGAATTACAGATTAATATTTAATTTAAGATTATGTCATGTGATGAAATCTCCAGGAACACATGCAACCAAAATTGGCCACCCTAGCTTACTTAGATAAACTCCCAAGGGGATCACAGTTGAGCTCTCTACGTTCAGAATTTCTGAAGACATTGCTGCACAAAGGTTCGTGAAAAGGTCAGAAAGAAATGAACATTTTTAATTTGATTCAACGTTTTTCAGTGGAAAATTTCACTTCAGTAGGAACAAAACAAAAACACCCTCCTATTCCCCCCCCCACACACACACACACATACTTTTTTGCCCACAATAAATAAAGTAAATATCTGATAGGGTTTATTTCCCTGACTGAAAAGAAAGGAAACAAAACAATTTCCAAATGGCCATTTTTTGTGAAAATGTTCAGTTGCTCTAAAAGGCCTGTTCTCTGAAAAAGAATTGTGTTGGAATTTTTTTTCCACCAGCTTCATGTGGAATGACATTAATTATATATTCATTTTAAGAAATGATCAAATAAAATAATAATCCTATCATCATAATAATAAAAATAGGTTGCACATCAGCCTAAAATTTTCAGGTTTGGGGGTTTCATTTTTGTGTCAAAAATTGAAACTTTCCACTGCAAATCCCCATGGAAACAAAGACGTTTAGCTTTAGCTGAAAATGTCCATGGGGAAAAATATTCCGACCAGTTCTACATCTAGTTGTTGGTCATCTTTCTTACATGAGCCCCGATACAACAGAATGACCAAAACCTGCAATGCATTTGTATGCAACAGTCACCTCGAGCTAAATTCTGCACGGCTCTGCTCTTCTCCAGGCCTTGGAGGTTTGAGATTATTTCTTTATTTCATATTTGAACAAGACACGTGGTCCTGCAATTGCTTCACACGTAGAACTGCCCAATGAAGAGAATGGATCTTTGGATATGTTTCATCAGGACCAATGAGAAGCAAGAATCTCCTATGTCTTCTCTGAGGGAGCTCTATGCATGTAGCAATTGCACAACCATGTGATTTGTTTAAAGATCTGGAGGCAGGAGAAAAGCAGAGAACTAAACAGACCGATTGCCAGAACCAGAGCCAATCGGGGGGCAGGAGGGAGGCAGGAGGACCATTTGGCCTGGGCCTCAAACGTAGACCCTTGTTAATTTTTTGGCATTTGATAAGTTTCGCAACTTGTTTTTATGCGCATCCCGATCGGACCAAAATGTGACACACACTCTCAGCTTAAAGCAGCGAATTTAAGCAAATAAGAGATGTGATTTGGTAAAAGACATACTTTTTTGTTAACTGATATAGATTTTGTCACATTAAAGAGTTAAAAATGTTCAGAAATATTAATAAAAAATATATCGGTTCTGATGGCACAAGATTAGACCACGATGAACGTGTCCTCTCAAATCAGCTGATTATATAAACAAACCACTGCTAGTGGCTGGTGCTGGATCAAGTGCGTGTTGAAAGATAGAGAATTGTTACATTTTAGTGCCTTATTTTGTTTTCATGTGTCGTCATTTTTTATTATTATGGCTAAGGGCCTCAAAAGCTGGAAGTGGCCTGGGCCTCTCTGGACCGCTGAGAGGGCCTGGCCAGAACTGCACCCTTCCCTTTGCACTTTGTGGGTATGTCTACACTGCACCTGGGTCTGAACCTCCCAGCCTGAGTCCACAGACTTGTCCTAGCAGGGCTTGCGCTAGCAGTGCACACTAAAAACACCTGTGTAGATGGGGCTTTGAGGTTGCGACTCTGAGGGAGGTGGACCTGAGAACCTGAGCTTCAGCCCATGATCTCAGTAAAGTTACACCCAGGATCCATGGGGCCCTGTGTGTTTGAGGAGCTGGGCTTGGTTACATGGGAAACCAGAGATGAACGGAGTGCTTTGATGGGCTTGGTTTGCCTGGGAGCAATATGAGAAAGTCTTTATACTCCGCTAAATAAAGACAAACACTACACACCTATTTAATAGTGCTCGTCAGCGTTTCACTCCGCTGACACTGAGATGTCTTTCTGACCGGCTTTTATGCAGCAAATAGAAATTAATCACATTGTTCCAGTGTTTGCCAAAAAATGTTTCACGCAGTTTGTTTTTCACAGGGAGAGAACCGGCTGCAGTATTTTAAAGCAAAGATGTAACCTGCGGATCTGGCAACCATATAAAGTATTTTACACACAGAGTGAGGATGGACTAGGTGACCTCTTGAGGTCCCGTCCAACTCTACTTTTCTATGATTCTACATGAACCAAATTTTGCTCACACAAAAATGGGCCAACACTGAATCAAAAGGGGGTTGTGCATAGGGTGACCAGATGAGAGGAACAAAATATCGGGACACATGGCGGGGGGCCACCGGCGGAGCGAAAAACAACAACACGGAGTGCGAAATATCCGGACAAATGGCATCCCAACCAAACATCAGACAAACAACTAAATATCTGGTCACCCTAGTTGTGCATGTTGACATTGCTCTTTTGAGTCAAACATATTTTAACAAACTTTTTTGAAAGAAGATCCACCTCCAACTCGATAGTATTTTAAATCTCTGTTTGAGCAAACTGATCTGCAAGGCCTTCATCGTGCACGCACTTACGCATGTGTTTAGTGTGAAGCACGTAACTGTTCCACTGACACGAGTGGAACTGCTCGTGCACTGGAAGTTAAGCCTCAGCATAAGTGTTTGCAGGACTGGGGCCTAAATGCTCATTGACCTGGTTTCTCTGGCAGAAAAAGCACTTAACTACATGCTTAAGTCCTATTCAAACCAATGGGAGATGCATGCTTAAAGCTGAGCATATAAAGTACTTAAGTGCTTTGCTGAATGAAGATGGACTGCTGGTTTGAAGCGACAAAGTAAAATGAATAAATTCTTGCCAGTGCAGTCAAATTAGGACAGTAAAAGTTTGACCACAGAAATCTAGCTTCTAGTTGCAGGGCCAGATTCCCAGCTGATGTAAAAGCCCATGGAAGGAATTTTGGGCCCGATTTATACCATCTGAGGACGTGCCCAAAGTTCATAAACTTAGAACACATTGACAAGTCCAGGTAATATACGAAATACAACCACCAAGAGCTAGGGGAGCGTCAGATCGTCTTCATGCTGT